GTTTAGGATCTGAAAATGTTCCGTTTGTTTTGAATGAAGAAGAAGAAAATAACATCTTCTCCTTTACAAGGTTTAAGTTCAGCTTATCAGTTTTTTTGTTTTTGCAGCTCTCTTTGTTTCCTTAAATGTCTCTTTTTATCTTCATTAATCGACGAACTCTCCGCTCCTGTTGTGTCCATGTTGCAGTCACGCCCCTCACATCCTGCAGGAATAAATGTTATGAGCCTTTTGACAACGAGAAACCTGGCTGCAGATGTGATGAAAACTGCGTCACCGCCAACAGCTGCTGCTTCGACCACAGTGACATCTGCACTGCTCCTAGTGAGACTTTGTTTGTGACTTACACGTCCTTCACTGCTCACCAGCTGAACTGAGTGTACTTCTGTACTTAACTCCATGACCGTTTCCTTCAGCTGAGCAGTGGGAATGCACAAACGTGCGCTGTGGTGAGAAGAGGCTGACGCAGAGCAAGTGCCACTGTTCAGATGACTGTCTTTCTGCTGGAGACTGCTGCACCAACTACAAACATGTCTGCCACGGTGAGGCTGCAGGGACATCGCACAGGGTGCAGACACAAAAGAAATCAGTTTCAGGAGACCTGTTTAGCCATGAGAAACACTTGTAGATCTTACTTTGAATAAACAGAGAAGGTTGATGAGAGAATTTCCTCTTAGTGTACGAGTGGCTCCTGCAGCGTAAACCTGTATACGTGGTTCATCTTAAGGACCTCTTAACTGGAGTGCTGTAAGAGTTTGAAAGCAGGAGTATATACAGCACATTAAAGCTGACCCAGTTCTGTAGCTTGTAGTTCTTGTAAATAATTGCTTTCTAGTTTAAACCATAACCCACAGGTATTTATCTAAGAAAAACATTTTAGCAGCATTTAGAGGGAATTTTCTTCCAGTTAAAACTCTCATTACATCTCCAGAACCCTACGTGCACTTATGCTGCCAGCTTATACGTACAGCTGGCAGCAAAAATGGCAAAAACAACAGACGTTACGAAGTGTATTCAAAAGTCCCGTACCATCAGATGTCACTGGTGACATAAACATTATGGTCTCGCTGCAGGAGAGAAACAGTGGGTTGAAGATGCGTGCGATGACCTGTCGACCCCAACGTGTCCCGCAGGGTAAGAATTTATACCAAATATATTATTATCCCTTTGGAAATGCAATAAACTGAAGATTGATTGAAAACTGATTGAAATGATCTTTGATGCACAAAAGAGCAACTCCATGCATGCTTTCTTCTACCAAACAGCTGTATTTGTAACATAGCCTTTCAACTAGGGATGCAACGATACCAATTTTTTCAAAC